TCAAAATTGAGAAGGGGTTGTTCCTAGGAAGGATGCTTCGTGCCTGGGTGCAACAGGGCGCATCAAGATCAACCTTGTAAGAGAAGCTCCTGTATTTGGTCCGTGTCACCTGAATCGTGGCAGACAGGTTTCTCTCCTCTCTTCTCCTTTAATGTATTCAACTCTTCTCCTTTATTGTATTAAACTCTTCTCCTTTAATGCATTAAACAGCTCTCCACGGTGCAAAGAATAATTTTCACAGGTTACAAAACATTCACTTTTTTTTCCCCATTTATTTCTTCTCCAAAATTGATCCAAGCAGAAAAAAAATCTTTACGATTTATTTTTTTTTTCTAATATTTCCACGGAGCTAAAAACCCAAAGAGTATTAAAGTTCATGGAAATTTTTTGGTTTGATCATTTCACTCCAATTTTGGCTTTTGACCTTCTGTGCTATATTTTGCTAAGATTAGCTTTCAAGTTTAAAAGCAAAAAAAAAAAAATCTGTCAAGCCAGCAAAGTAAAACTACTCATTTTTAGCACATCACAACTAAATAGATTGGGCTTTAAAAAGTGAGTCAAAACACGAGGTGCTTTCCAGAAAATGTTTGATTACAATCTCTCACCTTTTTCTAATGAAAAACCCACATTTTGCTTAAAAAAAAAACTTCATTTATAGTTCTGATCAACCGACACCACGCTGGCAGGCTTGGCTAACCCTGTGCTGGCCGCGAGCGGAGCACGCTGCAGCCCGTGCTGGGGACGTGTGATGTGGGATGGGAGCAGAGGTGAAGGATGTTCTCCCTGCTCACGCACCTCAGAATCATAGAATCATAGAATGGTTTGGGTTGGAAGGGACCTTAAAGATCATCCAGTTCCAACCCCCCTGCCAGCAGCAGGGACACCTTCCACTAGACCAGGTTGCTCAAAGCCTCATCCAGCCTGGCCTTCAACACTTCCAGGGAGGGGGCATCCACAACTTCCTTGGGCAACCTGTTCCAGTGTCTGACCACCCTCAGAGTGAAGAACTTCTTCCTAATATCTAATCTAAACCTCCCCTCTTCCAGCTTAAAGCCATTTCCCCTTGTTTTGTCATTAACTGCCCTTATGAAAAGTCCTTCCCCAGCTTTCTTGTAGGCCCTTCAGGTACTGGGAGGCCGCTATAAGATCTCCCCGGAGCCTTCTCTTCTCCAGGTTGAACAGCCCCAACTCTCTCAGCCTGTCCTCACAGCAGAGCTGCTCCAGCCCTCGGATCATGCTGGTGAAATCTCCAGAGCCAAATAACATGGTGGTTCTGATGGTGAGGGTGATCCTCACGTGAAAGACCTGCTGGCTTTGTGTGTGCTCAGTGAAAGGAGAGTTTTCTCGCCAGCCTCGAGCCACTATCGCAATCAGCCGGCTGAGCGGGAGCGCTGAGGTCTCCTCAATTTGCCTTGCCAACAATTAGTCTTTCTCAATAATTAATGCGACTGCATTTTCTTTTTGCTCATCCAATTACCTCTGGTTATTAAAGTCACTTCTTGGCTTCAAAGTGGGAGCTTCTTCCTTCACAGTGTTTTGTTGGTTTGTTTTTTTTTTAATTATTATTATTTTCTGATGGGGGCTGATTAATCCTGGTAGGATGATGCTCTGCAGTGTTGGTACCTGCCCCAGCGCCGAGTGACACCAGCCACCAGCACAAGGGGACTGGAGCAGGGGTGGTGGACACTCAAGAGAGTTGCAATTTAGCAAATTTAAGAAGGAAAAATAGACCCTCTAGGCTTGAGAACCCATTCTGCTGCTCCATCCATCCCCTCTGGAAATACCGTTCTGGTGTTGTTGTAAATGCACCTCTTCATTTCTGGAGCGAGGTCGTGGCTGCACAGCTCATTCCCAACCTGCCCTCAAAGGGTTGTGCTGGGAGAAGTGAGACAAAGCTGTGTCATCAGAGCATTCTCCTGTCCCCTCACGGCTGCTGAAGGACAGGAGGTGACTTGATGTGACTTGAGGTTGGAGTCATGACGTTGGGCACCAGCTGTGATATTTTGGGTGGGTGGGTAACCAGCAGTTCCCTCACCATCGCTCTGAGCTGTGTTGGACCAAGCCTTTGGGAAGGAGACACAAGAAGATGCTTCACCAAACTGCAGCACATCACCCCGATGCCCCAACCAGCAGCACCCTGTGTCCTCCCAGAGGACACCAAACCAACTGCCCTCGTGTTAAATCAGCCCGCTCGGCAGAAAACATTTGCATCAGGTTAATTTTATGGTGTAAGACGTTGTCAGCTGATAAGTTCTGGCTTTGAAAAGCTTCTTCAAGGTTCATGTCCTACAGCTGATTTCAGAAACTAAATCTAGACCTTGTAAAAAGGAGGAATTGACACCATTTCTCTGGCCTCTAAATGTCTATAACGAGGTATGATTTCACAGCAAAGACGTGTGCGGCAGCTGCAGCGCATCTGGTGAAGACCAGGAGCTGTGGACATGGCCATGGACCATGACCATGAGCAGCTGCAGTGTTTAAACTGGGGGTCAACACTGAAGGATTCTTCTCTGTTTCTCCAGATCTTTGTGCAGTGTTTCCTTCTTCACTTCATTGGTTCAACTGGGGAGATGGGTTCCTGTAACAAACTCCCAAAGGGAGGAAGTGGGAGGGGGATGAAGAGTCTCTTGCAGAATTTTTTGTCTCGCCTCCCTCCTGACTATCCTTCCCCACCAGCTTTTTATGACTTTAAAGAGCAGGAGAAACATTTTTGAGTGAGGCAAGTGCAAATGTAAGAAGGGACATGGATGGGGTCAACTCTTCTTCCTGGTACAACATCTTGTTTCCCATCTGAACTGATGGAAAATCTGAGTACCTGAGCTGCAACCTATTGTACCACCAAGATCCCATGTTCTGCTTTGATGGGGAAGAAGGACAGCCCTTGCCTTTGCTGTCACCACACGTGCTCTGTGCTTTTCACTGTTGAGCTATCCTGTGGAGCAGCATCAGGACTCTTCAGCTGCCTTTGTAGTGGTTTTGTGTCTTCTTGTCATTGCTCCAAAAGCTGTTAACAGTCGTCAGGCAGTGAGGCTGGCTGGTGGATGGTGCTGTGCTTTGGATCAGCCATGGTGCAAATGGAAAGGAAAGATCTGCCCGGCTTTGAACAGCAGAAATGCTTAAGCTGAGGTTTTCAGAACAGCTCAGCATCAAGCTCGTTCTGCTCCAATGTGATGTTAAAATGTCCACGGAGAACTGCATATCCCTAATTTAGGATTTCTGGCTCTTAAATAAGCTAAACCATAGCTAATTTTAGAAATATCACTGAAAAGCTATTCTTCATCTCATTTCATGGGCAAGAATAGGAAAAGCTCAGAGCTCCAAACATGTGTTTAACTAAGCAGGAGCCAGCCCAGCCCCGCTCTCGGTGGGAAAACCACATAGCCCATGGCCCTGCTGCAGGACAGGACCACCTGTACCACACCAGTTTGTGCTGGGGAGGGGGGATTACATGCCCAGTATCCCGCTGTACACAGTAAATCTACACCTGGTAAGCATCAGGAATTGGGGTTTTCATTCATTCTTAATGCAAACCTGCACGCCTCTTGGGTTTTATTTGCATGAGCAAACCTTTGTGGGAAAGACAGATGTAAAGCAGCATCTCCATTGGTCTGTTTTCCTTTCCACTCCATGGGTTTCCTCCTCGGAGCAGTGATGCAAAACACAGGACTCACCCAGGGCTCTCGGGCTGCTGTGCTGTGGAGGTCCAGGGAAAGGTCCAGGGAAAGGTCCAGGACAGGTCCTCCAGAGACATTGGCTCTGGCTGTGCCACCTCCACCAAAGCCAATTGGTGTTTTGTGCTCGTTCTACCTGAGCAAAATCATTACCAAAGTGAAAGGCACCAGTGAATCAAGTCCAGAGATCGTAAATGACTTGGCAAAAGTCACACAGCAAATCATCTGTAGATGTTCTGGTGGGACAAAAGAGGTCTGACTAGCAATACCAGTTCCCAGCCCCTGGAGACCTGTCCTACCTGGTCCATTCTTATTTTCTCCCTGTTTTAGGGTGCTCCCAGTCCTATTTCTGTATCTATCTGGGACAAATCCTAACATTCCACCACCAAGGCGAAGTCGGTTTGGGTTTAAAGGCAACGATGGGCGAAACCAGGCATGTAGGGAGCAGCTTGAGACGCTCGAGGCGAGGAGGCTCGTGTGCGTGTGCGTCTGTGTGTGTGTTTTCCTCACAACTGAGCAGCTCTTTTGAACAGGTTCCCCTCTCTCTGCTCCAACACGCAGAAGTCCTCCCCGTTGTGTGCACAAAAAAGTGCCTTTTACAAAGATCTTGAGCTCCAGTGGCCTCACTGTGTGTAACCAGGAGTAGTTGCAAGAGGAGACAGATTTTCCTTTGCTAAATTTTTTTGCATCTCCAGCACTCCAGTTCTTCTCCCAGCGCTGGAGCTGGGATCTTTGCTAAATTTTTTTGCATCTCCAGTTCTTCTCCCAGCGCTGGAGCTGGGACCAAGGTGGGTTTCAGCCCAAGGTCTCTCTGGTGATCATGTCACATTTTCAAAGGCATTGTCCTCAGCATGACTCTCCTTGCTTGAGAACCCCAGTTAGGAAAGCCCAAGTGTGGCTTTCAGAGTGAATGTTCAGGATATCAAAGTCCAGATATAGACCTTGTGGTAGCACAAGGCAGAAAACAAGAGCAATGAGTTGGGTAATGCGCTGGTGGCCTTCATCCTGGAATAAAAGATACTGGAAATGAATGAAAACAGTTCTGAATTTTGAAAGCTTCATGCTGATTTGAGCTGGTTTCCACCTACATGTGCAGTCATCTTCAGCTGTTGTCACTGCTTGGTTTGTGGAGTATTTTGGTTTTTTGCAGGATGCTCTAGTGTTTATTCAAGTAGAAAAAGGTATTTTTCTGCTTTGCCCTTGAGAGTCACAGGGGACTTTCAGTAATTCCCAGCTTCACTTGCAACGACAAGACTGCAAAGGGCACTGTCCCCTCTTCCTCATGGAGCCCAACAACTTCTGAGCCCTCTCCCTCCTTGTCTCTTGCAGTCCAACAAAGTTCCTGTCGTGCAGCCATCCCATGGAGTCCACCCGCTCACCCCGCTCATCCCTTACAGCAACGACCATTTCAGCCACGGCTCCCACTCGCCCCACTTGCCCGCTGACATCAACCAGAAACAAGGTAATGGAACCACTGGGGAGCTGTGTGGTGGGAGGGGGACAGTGCTGGAGACCACTGAGATCAAAGCTGTCACCTTTCTGGTCCCAAATTCATGGGAAGAGTCAAGAGCTTTGGTCAGCTGGGACATTGCTTACGTAGGACTTGATTGAACTTCTTGGCAATGCTTTGTCATCCTGGTCAAGAGGAGTTGGACATCAAAAGTGCCAACCCATTTGATCATTTGCTGATCAACTGTGCTCAATTCTCTGTGCAAGCTCCTCTACTGTGGCTTGAGACCAGACCAGAGCCTACGGAGATGATGCGTAAGAGTCAACCAGAAAATGGAAAGTAATCTTTCCTTTGACTCATACCCAAACTGTTGTCAGGTTGTCATTTGGAGAAAATAAATGCTTGAAACAGGAAATATTTTGACTAAATAGGATCAGTGTCTGATAGCTAACTGGATTGTTAGATGTATGTGGCCGTAGCCACACGTTCTGTGGTTGTCACACGGTTTGGCTCTTTGGGTCCAGGACACGTCAATTAACTCATGAGGCTAGAGAAGGAAAGTACAGTAGGTAGAGGTTAAACCCTGAACTGTAAAATATCAGTATGTGCACAGGAATTCACCTCAGCCCATCATTCTTCGTGGGTTACTGGCAAGCTGAGTGTCAAATCAATCTTTTCTCAACCTTACCTTAGTGCAACAGAATCTGTCAACATCTGCTGCTCGGATTACCCAGGCTTCTGCACAAACCTGCTCTTGATTTCATCTGAAAACAAGCAAATTCACAGGTTCTTTTGTCGAACTACATTCAGGAAGGGGTTCAGGGTCCATCAGAGCCCAGAAATCAGTGTGAAAACCAAAGTACAAAACCAACTGTTGTGATTTGGGCAAAGTCCTCCACCCAAGAGTGATCCATGCTGTCCCAAAGACATCGACTTCACTGAGTTAACATCACTGCTAAAACAATGGGGTATCGAGGATGCTCTTGGCCGGAGGACGTGCTGAATCATCCCTGGACTGAACCTGGAGGCCACGTTCTGGATTCACCAGGGATGCTGATAGGGAGGATTTAGGTCCCGTGTAAGAGATACCCAGGCACATCCTGGTTTTCTTCTAGCCAGCACATTGCTTGTCAGCCACCAAAACATAGTAAAATCAGCAGAAAAATACGAAGAGTTCACAAAATAAACCTATTGAAAGCTCAGCTGATGGCAGATTTCCAAATCTCGAGAGGAAGCGGGCAGATTTCTAAGTCTCCCGGGAAGGTGACCCAACACACTTTCCTTCACACAGATCCTTGTGGGGCACTGCCTGCTCCGAGAGCCTCTCACCAGGAGCTGCCTCCAGGGATTCACCAGTCCTGGAAAGCCTTAAGCAATACGGGAGCAGCTCACCCAAGGGATGAGCTGGTCATATCCCAATGATCAGCAGTGGAGTTCCCTAAACGTTCATCTCTGCGGTGGGTCAGGAATTCCGGGAAGCTGTCCTCTGGCTGCACACATTCCAGTCTCCCCTTTCCCTTTTAGTTTGTACATCAGAGGCAGAGGGAGTCTCTCCATCCTGGAGACACCCCCCCTCCCCCCGAGGGTCCTGTTTATGGAGGTTCAGACCGTCATCCTCAGCTGGGACCTGCTTCTGTGGTGCAGTGTTGCATCCTGCATCCCTACACTGCTGGGGTGAGGGTTTTCTTCCCCATTCATTGGGGATGTGTCCCATCTCTGTTTTCATTGCTGAAATATCTCCCATTATCACCTCGTGTAAGGGCTGGAGAGTCACCTGGTGCTCATTCTCACATCATCCCTTTAAGGTATTTCACAGCAGCCCAAGGACACGCGGACAAGGAAATACAAACAGGATCTTCTGAGTCAGTGGCTGGTGCCCCAACCACTGGACCAGTGAGAATAACTTGTGCTCTGGCTTAGACAACTTGTATTGTTGGGGGTCCAGATCTCAGGAAATCCTGGCAGCTGCCTAACGCAGATGCTGGTTTGGTTTGACCTTCAAGGGGCTGCTGTGTCCCACTTGAGCACAGCTGTAGGTAAATCTCATATTCATTTATATATTCCTTTCAGTTCAGTTATATATTTATTTTAGCTAACTCCTAATAAGATGCTTGGAATCTGTTGGCGTCATTCCTAATTAGTAATTTGTCATTAATATACCATTAATACATTAAAATTTGTCATTAATACATTAATAATCCAGACTTCTGAGTTTGCAAAGTGCTTACAACTAATTACCAATTTATTCAATGTATTTATTGCCCAGGACAGCTGCTGGACAATCTTTATAAATGATTTTTTTAATCTGAGGCTTATTAGCAGTCAGCTAATTACATGATGCTGCAGCAGAGCTCAACCTCAGCTCCCCTCCAGTTTTCCAGTCTGGGGGCTGCTTTTGCCAGCAGCACCCTGGTTGTCTGGGTCCCACCCGCAGCCCCGGGCTCCATGGGTTGTTTTCAAGTCCAGATAGAAACGGAGAGAGGCTGCGGCTGTCTCCTCTGGCCATGCCACCCGTGCCAGCGGCTTTGAAGATCACTCAGGGATTCCCCGTGCAAAGGGTGAATTCCCACCTGGCACCATACCCAGCTCTGCCGTTCCTTGGCACCCGCAGAGCTCACGAAACAATTGCTTTGCACGAGGACTCAAATTGTTTAAAATCAAGGTAGAAGTGATGTCTGCTGGAGCATCCCCACTGTCTGGTCATGGAGGGTCCCGGGGATGAGTGATGGGGCTGTAGGAATGGCTTTGCCCGTTTGTTGTTGTCCTGGTTTTGCTGGGATAGAGTTAATTTTCTTCTAGAATAGCTGTGTTTTAGTTTCAGTGTAGGATTTGTTATGAGAAGAATGTTGATCAAGTACTAATGTTCTTAGTTGCTACTGGAGCTCAAGTCCATCATGTTTGGCTGGTTCACAGCTGCATTAGGACCAGGAGGGAGAAATGTAGTGAACAGCAAAACCCAACTGGCATTTGGATGTGCCAATGAGATATTCCATATCATATCACATCATGGTCAGTATATTAACCAGGGTTGACCAGAAGATGGGAGATTCTCTTGGAGATCCTGACCAGGCTCTCTGGGAAGTCAGAGGGATGTCCAGAGTCCATCAAATCCTTACCAAAGCAAGTTGCTGCTCGACCCCAGGGTGACAGGGAGCAGGGATGATGCTTGTGCAGGAGCAAGCTGCCTTCCCCACCCCATTACACGAGTGTTTGCGATTCTGTGGCAACACGGACAGCCCACCACATCCCCACAGAGAGAACCACAGCAATTAAAAGGGCAATTAGAATATCCTGCCAGTTGCAGACAGCTCTTCCACAGATACCCCCTGCTGCTCGCAAGTCCCCGTAGATGGAGCAGGGGGTTCAGGTCAGCTGAGGAACACAGTGCTGGGTCTAACTCGTCTCCTTCTCCCTTCTCCCAGGAGTGCACCGTCCTTCCCAGACCTCAGACATCCCCGGGTTCTACCCGCTTCCTCCCGGTGGAGTGGGACAGATCACGCCGTCGATGGGATGGTGAGTGTGGAGCCCCCAGCCCCGTGCAGCCCCCAGCCCACCGGCTGCTCCAGACATTTATTGATCAAACCACGTGCAGCCGTTCTCCATAATCTCCACGGTGCATTCACCCCGGCCTCGTCCCTCCTGTGTGCTGTGGGATGGGGAGGGGGATTTAACCTTGTTTTAGAGATGGAGAGCAGATCGTGGAGAGGCTGAAGGCTTTGTCCTGGCTGGGGCAAACCTGGAGCAAGGTTACAACCTGCCCAGTTCAAAACCGTCTCCTGCCTTACATCGAGCTGTCTGTGAGGATTAGGAAACCCAGGAGAGCTTCCTGCCCACCTCTCCTCATCACAAGAAAAGCTTCTCTTTTGGTGTAGGAGGTAATTTGCTCCTTTGCTGAGGTTTTCAGCACAAACAGTGCTTTCCCTGAGCATGGCATCATCTAATGGAATGCTCCATCCATGGGGTCATGGTGCTTCTTGGGATCTCACCCACAGGGAAAAAAATACATCATGACAGAGACCTGCCCCAGTGAACAACCCCAGTGCCCACAGCCTGGCTGTGGCACAGCTGGTTCAGTGGCACCTGCTGCCCCAGGGGGACAGGGATGGAGGGACCACGAGCTGGAACACTCCCAAAAAGTCCCCCCTGCATGAGCCAGCCCCAAGGAGCATCCTGCAAAGTGGAGTCTGTTGGGAAAGCTGCCCCAGGGACATGAGTTAAAAAGCACCAGTGTGTGCTCTGTGGTCACTGCCACTGGCTTTTGTCACCACGATCCTAAACACACCGAGGGAGCAGGTCTGGCGGGTGGTGCCCTGTGGTCATCATCACTCTTGAGATTAATTTTTAATCCTGGTTGGTGACACAGGGACAGGGCAGAGGCTCGCAGGGAGGCTGGTGGCTGCAGGTGGCTGGTTGGGGGGGCCAGGGCAGGGGGAACAGTGTGGGGACAGGCAGCCAGATCCACCCTGGTGCCAGCTGATAAACCCCAGCAATGCAAGTGGAGACCTCCAGGGATTGCAAAATGGGAGAGGCAAAGCGTATTAAAACACAAAGTGAAACGTTAGCTTTTTGTTTGGTTTTGTTCATGAATCTTGTGTTACAGATATTTAACCGCAAGGAAACAGAGGCCGAGGCCTTTGATACAGAGTTTGCCTTCAAAGAGATTACATTTTGCCTTCTGTGCTAAATCTGCTCCTCTTGGGCGATGATTTAACTCCTCATATGACGTGATTCATCCTCAGGAAAAACAAGTACTGAGGTGACTGTGCTCTAGCCTGAAAGAAATAGTTGGGGGTGAGGAAGGAGCCTGTTTGCCAAACGCAAGGTTCAATTTTGGGGTGGGATGCTGTGAAAGGGCAGCGTGGAGGGGGAAAAGTCTGGTTTGCACAGAGGTTTTGTTGTTTGGTTGGTGATGGAGGGAGATTGTATTGCTGAGAGATGCTCCAGCATCCGCAGGGTTTGGCATCCTCAAGTGACCTCATCAGACATCTTCATTAGTGACTAGTGGAGCAAATATGATAAAGCCCAAAACAACC